AAACCCAAAGCCCCAAGCCCCAAGCCCCAAAGTTTAGAATTATGCCCTTAGGTTTGGGATTCAACGAGGTCCCTGCACTGCTCCGAGGCAAGCCCTGTCCGCAAGCGACCAGCAAATGATCCTCTCGATCCTGGGATTCATCCAGGACTGGGGGGGGGGGGCCTCTGGGTTTAGGGAGTTCTCAGGTGACGAGGGTTTCCTTCTTCAGCTCATGTCATCGGTCTAAGTATCATTTGCCGCGCTGAGCGCTGGTTTACCGTTTTGTGTTGGCTGCTCCGGTGTTTGCCCTTTGTTTGGAGCTGGTTAACGTATCATGTAGCAATTATTGTTCGCTGCTCATCGCTTAGAAGTAGTTGACTGTCTGTGTGGCACCTGTCATGGGTGTGCCTGTTTTGTTTCTGGCACGCCTCGTGCCAGCTTTCAATGTCACGTTGAAGTTTGTGCCATTGGTGATGCTCTTTGTTGGTTGCTTCGGCATCTTCTGTCATGTGTCCATCGGAATGACCCATCTGGCATTTATCTCGACATGTCTGTGGTGGTACGAAGTCCTTCGCCAGTGACCGTTCATTGCATGCCACATGTACTGCTCCTCGTACTATGCCATTGCTAACGGACGCCGTGGCGCGCATGGCGAACGCTTTGATGTTCATGACCATTGTGAGTCTCTTCTTCCTCTTCTTCCTGTGAAGGTTCGTGTTGCATCTTCTTGTCATGCTTGCTAGAATCGCAGCCGACTCGTGCAACAAACGTGGTGCGCGGCTGTAAGATTCAAAAAGTAGCTTGTACAGTAGGAGCCGCGGTGCTCGTCAGATTTCTGGTGTAGGTTTCATGCACGTGCCGCATCGATCCAGCAACCACCCAAAGCCAAGCCCCCCAAAATGTCGAACTCCGTGCCTTACTTGGAGGATCATGGGACTTAGTAAGTCGGGATATAAGTAAGGTAACTATGGTTATATCTACTTATAACCTTATTTAGGGTACTTAAAACCCTACTTACTAAGTCCCCTGATCCTCTAAGTAAGCACCGACACCGCAGGGCCGACCTCTGTCCCTGGCCGAGCAGAGGCAGCTGCAGGGTGGCAGGGGGAGGAGGGAGAAAGAAGGATCACAACTGGGGAAATTAGAAGTGCTTTACTACGGTGTCCCTATTCAGGGTCCCCTGTTTGCGTTTTATTGTACCGTCCCAACCCTAAACCCTAAACTTTAAACCCTAAGCCCGAAACCCTAAATCCTAAACCCTAAACCCCAAACCCTAAGCCCTTAACCCTTCAAGCCCATGTGAGTTCGGCGAAAGGCAAGTACTGAGACTCCGCGGCTGCCTGTCCCTCCAGCTGACGAGCGAGAGCAACCTGGGTGCATGGTTTGCATTTCTCGGCCAGCGCCTGGACCAGGTGGGATTTACGGATGACTTGGGGTTTAGGGTTTAGGGTTTACGGGGTTTAGGGTTTAGGGTTTAGGGTGGACCAGGTGGGATTCACGATGACTTCGGGGTTAGGCCACTTTTTTGGCGCAGCCTGCTACCTAATGTTCCGCAATCAGAGTTTGTCAGGGTCTATCTAATATAGGGGCCTTAATAATTAGAATAGGGCTTGGGGGTGTATCATACCGTAGTTCTCACAAGGAACCCCAAAATCCCTTCCACTTAATAAGGCCCCTACAGTAACTTCTTTTTCTTTGCCTGGTCAGGTCATCGCAGTTGCCGGGGCACCAAAGCGCGCTGCAGTGGAAGCTGGACCGATGGAGCCTGGGCTCTTTTCTGAAGGAATTCAGCTTAAGTTAACATAATAAGGAAGCCGTATTATTTACTATAGATCCCTATTTAATTTAAGTTACCAAAAATAAGGAAGCCTTATTATTTACTATAAATCCCTTTTGTGGTAACTTAAGTTACGCTCCTTAACAAGAACCCAGGAGACTGGCCTCCGCAGCGTCGTGCAGCCGGGAGTACCCCGAACAGTGCTCGCACGGCGAGGTGAGGACGTCCTACCCTTGGCCCTTTCCTTCTATGGAGGAGCCGCATCGAGTTGAGACCAGAAATGATCTAGTAATTAGGAGCTTTGCAAGGATCACCTGCCAAATCTGTTGGCAGGAGTTGAAAGCCTTCCACAAGCATCGCAGATGCTCTTCTGCGAAGATGGGATGGCTTGGCCGCAGTTGGATGCCTTTCTGGCACGCTGCAAGCACATGGGTGGCCTGCATTGCCTCGTCCAGGTTCAGCGCCTGTCGTATTCCATGCAGCACAAGCTGGTAGACCGAATCAAGAGCGGCTGGCTCGGAAGCTCCTTCCGCCTGGTGATACTCGCCATGGCGGAGGACGACACTCAGGTGCACGCGCTGCGCGAGATCCCTCCACAATCTGCGCATTCCTTGTCTCCCGAGGGTGTCGAAGACTTCGTTCGAAAGTTGGCGCCAAGCCTGATGGTCGTGACCTCGGAGGAGGCAGGCTGCGGCAAGACGGAGACGATCCGACAGCGCGCCTTTGCCCAGCAGAGGGTCCCGGTGACGATCCCGCTCAGTGGGCCCTTGGATGTGGCGGATTTGGTTCGCCGCCTCCTGGAGGTAGAAGGGGGGGCGGGGTTCATTGAAGTCTTTTTCTTCCGGAAGAGTTCCTGTCTACCGAAAGTTTGTTGAAGAGTCTACTTGGAGGGTCGGGGGGCTTAGTAAGTAGTGAGGTTATAGAGTTGTAAGTATATTAACCCTCATTAGGATCCCTTTGAGGGTGCGTATAATTCCCCCGTTACCTACTTTGGAAGTCCCCCGACCTCCAAGCAGGAGTCTTTGTAGATGATCGCCGCAGGTGGATTGGAAGCCCTTCCATTGCCTACATCTTGACATCGGCCCTACGCTCCAGCCGGAGATGCTGTCAGACACCCTGACTCAATTGAGTCTTTGGGGAGTGGTGCAAGCCGCCCAAGCGGACGGAAGCATATGTGTCCTACCTTGCAGTACTACCTTCGTGGAGCTTGCAAACCTCTCAACAAGACTGCTTCTCGACCTTCCATTTTGTCGATTGGTGCCCCCAAAGAGGGTGCGATTCGAGATGAGGGCCTTCCAGGTCTCCGACAATCCCCGAAGTCCTGTTCAGGCTGTTTGTTGCATGCTGGATGCTCTGGATCGGAACACACTGAACTCTCGGGCACCGAAGATCGGGGTCACCGCGCTGTCGGAAGCGCGCTGCCAAGATCTCTTGCAAGCTTACGTGGTACGTCGGATGCAGCATGCTTCCGCCTCGTACACGTTGATGCTGGCACTGCTCCGAGTACTCGCAGTTCAGCTGGTAAGCTTCAGCCATTCTGCTTACTTCGACTGCAAGATGTTGAAGGAGCTGTGTGTTTTGGTTTGTTCTTCTTGCTGTCGCTATGAAATTTCTTCGTATCATCAGCATTTGTAAATCTACACTCTAATGCCCTCAACTGTTCCGAGTTGCAGATAACTGAAGGACCCAAAGCACCCCGTACATACTAGACAGCCTTCTAACGTCCCTTTTATCAATGAAACCCTAAATCCTAAACCCCCTAANNCCCTGAACCCCTAATCCCTAGACCCTCAAAAGGAGCTGGGGCTCAGGGAGTCTCTGCGGAGCCACCTCGTCGAGCAAGCCCTTGAGGCTGGCGGTGTAGAGTTTAGGGTTCAAGGATATAGGGGCCTTAATAATTAG